AACAAAAGCAGCAGCAGCAGCAGCAGCAGCAGCAGCAGGGGGTGTTATGTCTCCTCTAACCCTATCATTAGTTCATCGTACACCTGAAGGAATAGAAGGATGGTGTCCTTGGATAGGATACCTAAAAAAAGAGACAAAAAAAGTGTCTCCTTTTTTGTCTCCTTTTTTGTCTCCTTTTTTGTCTCCTTTTGAATTCGCATTCAATGAGTGTCTCTCAAGGGCATACTCACAGCAACTCCTAGATGATACGTACGCTGCTGCTGCTGCTGCTGCTGCTGCTGCTGTTGCTGCTGCTGCTGTTGCTGTTGTTGTTGTTGTCTCCCTTGCTGCTGTTGTTTCTGTTGCTGTTGTTGTTGTCTCCCTTGCTGCTCTTGCTTCTGCTGCCGTTGTTGTTGTTGTCGTTGTCTCCCTTGCTGCTGTTGCTGCTGCTGCTCTTTTGGTTGCTGCTAGTGCTGCTGCAAACGAGCTGCTGGTGCTGCTGCTGCTATTGTTTGCTTTTGCTGCAGGGGGCTACGCGCTGCATACAGTCAACTTATTGGTCGTTTTCTTGTTGCTGTTCCTTTGGTCCCTCCCTCTGTCTTCGCCTTCCTCGCGTGGCTAGCCGACGGACCACCCCCTCCAGGAGCAGCAGCAGCTGCTGCTGCAGCAGCAGCCGCTGCTGCTGCTGCAACAGCAACACCGGCAGCAACACAGCAGCAAGACGAGCAGCAGCCCGAGGCTGCTCGCACGTCTGATGCTGCAGATATGGCTGAAGACGGCAAGACTCCGTCTTGCTTGGAGCAGCAACAACAGCAGCAGCAACAGCAGCAGCAGCAGCAGCAGCAGCAGGAGAAGCAAGGTTCAGCAGCAGATCTAGTTGCTGCATGCGGTCTAACAGAAGGAAGAAGCATAAAATGTTTAGCAAATGATCGTCGTTTAGTTGTTGCTGCTTTGTCACAAATCATCAAAAGAAAATGCTCAATACTCTCACGAAGGTAAACCCTAAACCCTAAACCCTAAACCCTAAACACTAAACCCTAAACACTAAACTATATACACTAAACACTTAACCCTAAACGCGTAACACTAAACCCTAAACACGTAACACTAGACTCTAAACACCTAACAGTAAACCCTAAACACTAAACCCTATTCACTAAACCCTAAACCCTAAACACTAAACCTTAAATACTAAACCCTAAACACTAAACACTAATGTTTCGGGAACAGCAGTGGCTGCATGCTGCAGCAGATGCTGCTGCAGCAAATGCAGCTGCTGCTGTATAGACAACACCAACCATACCCAGAGATTCCCTGCTGCTGCTGCAACTGTGTTGCAAACTTTGTTCCTCCAACTTCTGCTGCTTCGGCAACTTCTGCTGCTGCAACTTCTGCTGCTGCAACTTCTGCTGCTGCTGCTGCTGCTGCTGCTGCAGGACTGCGTTTACCTTATTGATGCGTTTATGCCACGTGAGTTCTGCAAGTTGTCGTCGTTTATTTGCTCGTCTCTTTGCGTCAGCAAAAGGGACTTATTCTCCCCCTATAGATCCATGGCAACCCCGCCCTCTTGTAGATATCTTGCTGCAAGCTAAGGGGTCCTTAAGAGGACCTGCTGCTGCTGCTGCTGCTGCTGCAACAGCAGGAGGAAAAGGGGAAGCAGCAGGTGGAGGAGCAACACAGGAAATTGTTCGATGCCCTCCAGGGACACCGCTGTGGCAAATGCCCTCCCTCTTGCTGCAGCAGATGGGGATGGAGGCAGTGCAGCAGGAGGAGCAGCAGGAACAGACAAGCGAAGTAGCAGCAGCAGCAGCAGCAACTGCAGCAGCAGCTGCTGCTGCTGCTGCTGAGGGAGCAACACCATTAGTTGTCCCCCGTATAGAGCTGCAGGGATGGGGATCGGATGCGACCTACTCCGGTCGATGGGTTGAAGAGGTGGCGAGTGTCATCTTCGCGTAAGGGTTTAGGGTTTAGGGTTTAGGGTTTAGGGTTTAGGGTTTAGGGTTTAGGGTTTAGGGTTTATTTTTGAAGATTTAGGGAACAGATAAGATATTTATATGCTTCTTTTGCAATATTATTGTCCTTGTGTTTTGTATATTATGCTGCTGCTGCAACACTGTATCTCCCTATTGCTGCGAGCATGCATCTGCTGCTGCTGCTGCTGCTGTGGGTGTTGCAGCTCAACGGGAGGGCCGGGTGCTGTACAAACGCTTTTAGGCATGATGGGCAGCAGCGCGTTTCCTGCTGCTGTTGCTGCAACAGTGCTGCGCGAGGTTGCTGCAGTTGCAGGTAGGAAGAAGCTGCTGCTGCTGCTGCTGCTACTGTTTGTTGTGGCACTATGCGTATACAGATGTATTAAATATATAGTGTGCTGCTGCTGCTGCTGCTGCTATCTGGGGTGGCGCCTTCAGTATAGTCTGTTAATTTGTTGCTGTTCGCTGCAGATGCCGCAGACGCAGCAGCATCTACAGCAGCTGAAGCAGCAGCAGCAGCAGCAGCTGCTGCTGCTGCTACTGCTAACGAGGCAAAAACAGCGAATGAGGCCTCTGCGGGATCTACAGCAACTGGAGAAACAGCAGAGGCAGCAGCAGCAGCAGCTGCTGCTGCTGCTGCTACTGCTGCTGCAGCACTCAAGGCGAAGGCAGCAGCAAGTGCTGCAGCCTTCGACATGCGCAGCAGCGTCTTTGGTGTAATTGCTGCTAGGAATCCTTTCTTGCTGCACCTGCTGCTGCGGGTTGCTGTGTCCTGTAAAGACGCCGAGGCGATGCAGCGCCACGAGCAGCTGCTGCTGCAGGCAAGTTGTCCCTGCAGCAGCACCCGTCAAAACAGCAGCAGCAGCACTACCCGTAGAAGCAGGAGTAGCCGCTGTAGCCGCTGCTGCTGCTGCAGCACAGCAATCCTCTGTCTTTTCTTGTCTTTGCAGGTTGTAAAGCAGATCAACAACTTATACCATGAGGTGTATCCGCAGCTCCTAGAGGTGAGGCAGGACAGTAGCTGCTTCTGCTGCTGCTGCTGCTGTTTGTATCAGCAGCAACTCAGGGAGTGTCACCCGCAGCAACTGCAGCAGCAGAAACAGTATTTCGTGCAACCTGTATCTGTTCGTCTGCTGCTGCAGCTACTCCAACCCGAACAGAAGCCGCTGCTGCTCGTGCTGCTGCAGCATCTAGCAGCAGCAACAACAGCAGCACTACAGAATGGAGATAACTTGCCGCAGCAGCTGCTGCATGCAGCTTGGGCAGCATTTAATACTCACAAGGACTTTTCCCTTGTAGCACCTTTGCTGCCCTTCTTTACTAGGTGAGTGTGCATCTGCTGCTGCATCTGCTGCTGCAGCTGCTGCATGTGCTGCAGCTACAGTAGCAGCTGTGATGGTGCTGCTAATGCTGCTGCAGGTTGCTGCAAGTGAGCCTGTATTGCTACGGCGTTTTCATCCGTTGCTGCTGCTGCTGCTGCATGTGGTTTTGCGTATCTGCTGCAGCGAGCAGTGCCAGGTGTACATACAGCAGCTGCTGCTGTCTGATGTAGATATGTCTTTGGTGTCTTCTGTGTTTACGGACCTGATGAAGTCTCGGTCTACCCTCAAGCAGCAGCAGCAGCAGAAGAAGCAACAGCAGCAACAGCAGCAGCAGCGGGCCCTGGACTGCGGCATATCTCCAGAGGACATGCTGTTGTGTACATACAACTTAACCTGCCCCTCTGGTTAGGATTTTGATTACTTGCCGCAGCAGCAGCAGCAGCAGCAGCAGCAGCAGCGGTAGCCTGTCCATTTGCTGCTTAGTGTACATAACGAATACATGCATATAATGTATATAATCTATATAGTGTATATAATATATATACATTATGTATAATATATATTATATAAAATATATTAAGTATACAGAATATATATAATTATATATAATATATATATTATGCATATTTATTTGCATGCAGTGGCGGAGAGGCGGCGGCAAGCAGCAGCATTGGATATTTGTTTGGGGCTGACGGGGGCACTCCCTACCTCCCCTACAACAGAAGAATTAGTTCCCATACACGTAAGCAGTAGCTAGCTACATAGCTACCTAGCTAGCTAGCTAGCTAGCTAGCTAGCTAGCTAGCTGGCTAGCTAGCTAGCTAGCCAGGTACTTAGCTGGCTAGCTGGGGAGTGACCGGGATGCAGCTGTCTGGCTCGCTGAGTGTGTGTTCGATGTAGACAGAATTATTATCCGTTGTTGCTGCTGCTGTTGCTGCTGCTGTTGCTGCTGCTGTTGCTGCTGCAGGCAGTGGCTGCTGTGTGCCAGCGGCTATCCGAAGACACCGAGAAGGAATTGCAGCCCGTCTTTGGTCGTCTGGTGAGTTTGCTGATTTTTTGCTGTAAATTGTTAGCAATTATTATTTTATCTAGTCTGCTGCAGCAATACTCTGCTGCTTCTGTGCTGCTGTTGTGCTGCTGCTATGCTGCTGCAGCTGTGCCGCGCAGCACAACACTTGCCGTCACTAGGAGAGTTCTTGTCTGGTGTTGTTTTTCCTTCTCTTGTCGCGAGAGAGGTATGTCTAATAACCCTTTTAGGGTTTAGGGTTTAGGGTTTGGGGTTTATCGACAGATTAGGGTTTAGGGTTTAGGGTTTGTAAGAGATATTCTTGTGTCTCCTGCTGCTTAAGGAGACACCTCACTACTTAATTCTTGTCTGCAGCAGCAGAACCAGCAGCAGCAGTAGCAAGCAACACGGTCCTGGTGCTCCTGTGCTGCTGCTGTCTCCGCAGGCTTGGTTGTCTCCTTCTCTATGGAAGGGCGTTAGTATTGCCGTGGGGGCCCTTTGGCCTTCTCATAGCGAAGCGCTGCTGCAGCACATCCTCAGACTGCCGCAGTAGGGCTGCATGCAACACAAGCAGGCAGCAGCACCAGCACCAGCACCAGCAGCAGTAGCAGCAGCAGCAGCTGGTTTCTGCAGTTTCCTCAGCTCCTCGGCTCAAAGCACTTCTCGTATTGCTGTTGCTGCTGCTGTTGCTGCTGCGTTCTCAGGGAGGCAGGAAAGCCGCTGCTGCAGCAGCTGCAGCAGCGGCTGCCGATAGCAGCGGAACTTTCGGCTCTCCTTGCGCAAGACCCTGTGGTACATAGCTGTTGCTGTTGCAGCTGTTGCTGCTGCTGTTGCTGTTGCAGCTGTTGCTGCTGCTGTTGCTGTTGCAGCTGTTGCTGCTGCTGTTGCTGTTGCTGCTGTTAGGTTAAAGGAGACACATGAAGGCAAATAACTGCCCCTTTGTTTATCCTCTGTTTGCTCTGTGCAGGCACGGCAGCAGTGTCCCCCTTACCTGCAAGTCTTGCTGGGTCTCTCAAGGTAGACTGTGGGGCTGAAGGAGTCTCTTTTTAGACGCATGCATGCAGAGACTCCCGTTCTGCTGCTGCTGCTGCTGCTGCTGCTTTTGCTGCTGTATACGTAGCAGCAGCAGTAGCAGCAACAGTAGCGGTGGAGAGCCACGGGTGTATCTTGTGGATCGCACAGGAAAAGTGAATTTTCTGCTGCTGCTCCCGCTGCTGCGGTACTGTACATGCCGTTGCAACAGCAGCAGCAGCAACAGCAGCAGCAACAGCAGCAACAACCGCAAACTGCTTTTATCTAACTTTTGTCTCTCAGTAACAAAACTGCATTTCTGTGTCTATAACTTCCCCAGAGCCGCTACATCTGCACAGCAGCAGCAGCAGCAGTAGCTGCTAGCAGCAGTTGCTGCTGTTGCTGCTGCCGTTGGGGGGAGGCAACTGCAGCACGGCACGCCTATCTCCTTGGGACAGAGGCAGCACAACATACTACTATTAGAAATCGGAGATACAAGGGAAAAGCAATCGCGTAGTCCCGCGCTGCGGATAGTAGTTTGCTGCTGCAGCAACACAACTTGCTGCTGCTGCAGCGACACAACTTGCTGCTAGTGCAGCGACACAAATTGCTACTGCTGCAGCAATACAACTTGCTGCAACAGTAGCAGTAAGACAACTTGCTGCTGCTGCAACGACACAAACTGCTGCTGCTGCAGGGACACAAACTGCTGCTGCTGCTGCAGTGGCACAACTTGCTGCTGCTGCAAGTCGACTGAGTGCTGCTGCAGCACAACTTGCTACAGAAGTGGCAAAACATGTAGTTGCTGCAGCCTATCCTGCTGCAGCAGCAGGAAAGTCAGCAGTTGCTTCTGCGTTCCACCTTGCTGCAGCAGCAGCTGCTGCTGCTGCATCGCATCTCCCTGCTGCCGTTGCTGCACCTCTGCAAGACCTGTCCCCCCAAGCAAACACTTGCTAGGGTTTATAATGTAAACCCTAGCTAGGGTTTATCAGGGGTTTAGTGTATAAATAAATTTAAAGGGTTTAGGGTTTAGCTAAACCCTTGAGGGTTTAGCTAAACCCTCCATCAGAGGGGCAGAAGAGCAGCTCGGATGGCTGCCATAGCTGGACCTTGTTATCAAAGGAGACACTTGCCCCCATAAGGGACTGCCGCAGATGGTGTACACGGCTGCTGCTGCTGCTGCCGTTGCTGCTGCTGCTGCTGGATGGAGGCTGGACCTGTGCCGTGCGCCAACAGAAATCAGCTATGGGGGCAGAGTGCCCTGCATGCACAAATAAGAGGCCTGGCGGACCCTTGGGGCCCCTTCTTGTGGGGTAGTCTCCTTCTCCATCTTCATGCATCTCCTCTCCTTGCTGCTGCTGCTGCTGCAGCAGCTGCGGCTGCTGCTGCTGTGTGCTAGCAGCCACGAGGTCCCACAGGGCTACTGTACCGTCGTCTGCTGCTGCACCCAGGAGGAACCCAAACTCTGGGTGGAAGCGGACAGCACTAATGGAGACACCTGATTGAGGTGTCTCCTCTGCAGCAGCAGCAGCAGCAGCAACAGCAGAAAGAGACAGGAGGGGACAACGGAGACACCTTGTGTCAAAGAGAGACACCTTGCCAGCTCCGTCGCCAACTGCAAAGACACGAGGCTCCTGAGGACTCCAAGATACTGCATTTGCTGCTGCATTTGCTGCTGCTGTTGCTGCTGCTGCTGCTTCCCGTTGCCTCCAATCCAGCAGCAAGCAGCATCCATCCTCAGCAGCAACAACAGCTAAGTCTGGATGATGAATATGCTGCTCAATATCATTAAAGGAGACACCTTGTTTGCTGTATGCATGCAGAGGAGACACCTGTGGGGTAACAGCAGCGATGTGTACACCATCTGCTGCAACATCCCCTGGCTTAAGCCCACCAATATTGTTGTTGTTGCTGCTGCTGCCGCTGCTGCTGCTGCTGTTGCTAACGTCCCATAACAAGCAGACACCTGCTGCATCTGCAGAGGCTAGACGTCTGCTGTCTGCTACACTCCAACTCAGTCCCTCTACAGCAGCACTACCGTGTCCTATGAGTGCTAATTGGGGCTTGGCAACATTTTGTGCGGGTGCATGCAGCCCCGTTGCTGCAGCGGCAGCTGCTCCGGCCCCACCACCACCACCAGCAGCAGCTGCTGCTGCTGCTGCAGCAGCAGCAGCAGCAGCAGTTGCAGCAGGATTAGGGGACGTGGGGAAAGATGGATGCTTACTATAGTCCCAGAATAACACCAAACCCTCACAAGTACAACTCGCTATATGCAAAGGGTTTAGGGGGCGGAGGCGAGCTCGCGATACACCCCCGGGGTGTATAAGCAGCGCCTTGACCTCTAGAGGAGCACAAGTACCCGGGGCCCCAGCAGGGGGGCCCCCACGGCTGCATTTGCTACGAGGAGCAGTAAACCCTGCAGCAACAGCAACAGAAATAGCAACAACAGCAGCAAAATACAGCAGCACACACAATACACACACAATGCAAATAATGCACACTACGCAGAGAGAAGAACAAACATCCAAATGCATGCAACAGCAGCAACTGCAGCAGCAAACCTGCTGCAGCTACAGATGTGCTGCAGCAACATATGTGCTTGCAGCACGACCGCCACAGTAAGCACACAGAAACAGCAGCAAATGTAACGCAAGGAAAGAAAATAATTAACAAAAAGCAGCAGCATTACAAGAGCAGCAGGAACAGCAGCCGCAGCAGCAGCAGCAACAGCAGCAACAGGAACTGACCTGAGTAGGTTTCGCATACAATGGGGTCTACCTCTAGAGAAGGAGAAGGAAGTCTTGCCTCTGCCTGCACTAAGAAGTTTTGCTCGCTGCCGTCTGTTGCAGTTCCTAGCAGCAGCCTTATAATACCAGAGGAGGAGGAAGCTTGTGCAGGAGGGAAACACTCCACCTGCAGCAGCAACAACAACAACAACAGCAGCAGCAAAAGGAGGAGCAGCAGCAGGAATCTCAAGTCATGAGATGCAGCAGGAAACAAAACCAGGAAGATGCTGCAGCAGCAGAGTCGCACGCGCTTGCAAACCTGCCAAGACAACTGCAGTTGACCCCAAACCCTAAACCCTAAACCCTAAACCCTTACGGTCAAGGAGGGCCAGTCGAACTTGTGACTTAGAATTGTGTCGTAAAAGAAAGGAGCGTTCTTTCGCCACACCAAATGCCTCTCCTCCATCTGCTGGTCGATGCTGTTGCTAGGGCATGCAGAGCCATCGGCACTAACAGTGGTGCTGCTGCTGTTGCTATAGCTGTTGTTGCTACAGCTGCAGCTGCAGCTGCTGCTGCTGCAGCTACATGTGCTGCTGCTGTTGCTGCAGCCGCAGCTACCGTCCAGCGGCAATGCTGCCGCCTCTAGCAAAGGCGAAGACATATGCTGCGGGATGCCGCAGGAGGGAACTGGTGTAGCTGCTGCTGCGGAAGAAGCTGATGCTGGTGCCTCTACTGCTTGCTGCTGCTGCTTGCTGCGGTGCAGCAGCAGCAGCGGGGGACCGCCAAATCCACGAAGTAAAGAGGCGGTGAACTAGCGGGTATCATGCGATGAGGTACCGGTAAAACCCTTTTTTCTCTTGAATTTGAGGCGATATAAAGAGAAAAAGAAGGAAAAGTAGTATGGCTCAAGCGAACTAGGCAACAAAACCCCCAGCAGCGTAACAACGACCCCACCCCTGCTGGGTGATACTGCATGCATGCATGCATGCATGCATGTAGTATCCTGCTCCCAACCCCCCATGGTAATGATGTTTGTTTTTGTGTGTGTGCCGTAATCTTCGTCTCCTGCGGCGTAAGGAAAACACTAATAGGTTACTTGCTTCTTTTATGTCGCCAAGAGAGAGCGCGCCACAGGAGGCATGTATTCAACTGCAGCATAGTTGCCTCCCTGCTCATCCATCGGCTCGCTGCTGCAGCAACCGGCAGCAACTAAGCGGGAATTCTACAGAATGTATTTTTGAGACAAACTTTATATAAATGTTTGAACTTGTGCGGAAAAAGCTTCCAATACGGGGAGCTCAGGGGGGCAGCTGGTAGAGAGCTCCTCTATCGATACGGTTGTACTTTTTTAAGCTGTGCCACATTAGCCGAAATAAATCCTGTTCCCATGTGATAAACCACATTTTATTGAAAATAGCTGTATGGGCAGCTTAGCTACCTGAAGAACTGCCTTGTTGTGTCTCTTAGCCTAGGCAACATCCTGTGCCTTCAGCCGCATGCATCGCAGTGTATGCTGAGCTCTACAGAAGAATAAATAAATATGCTAACGCCGTCCAATGACCCCTCCAAAGTACCCTCATAAGGGCTTTCCCTAAGAATGTCATGCAAGCGCCTCAATTGTGTATTGTGCTGACACCCCACCATGGGCACCGTGGATAGCTGCCTGTGAGTCCTGGCACTGCATTCACACTGCAGAAGCTGCAACGGGGTATTATTGTGCATCCAGTGGATACCTCTTCCTCGCAAGCTTACTGGCTTATTCACCATGGAATGTGTTCAACTCTTTCTCTGTGTAGCAGATAAAGAGTTGAACACATCCTAAGTGTCGCTGTGGGAACAGGACGACCACCAATTTTGGATACTGCAGGCACAGGAAACTTTAAATAGCATCAGAATTTGCATTTTTGTATGTTCCTACTACTCGGTGGTGCATGAATGGGATAAGATTACTCGTCTGGTTGCCTCGAGGGATTATGAGGAGAGATGTATGAAAAAGCACATTCTTAGGTAGGAAGAGTACTTGTTTGTTTTCTCTTGACCCGTGCAAACGTCTACATGCGCATATTGGAGTTGATTGATGGCAGTACAACCAGAAGCCAAGGTTGTGGGGTATAGAGAGCACGATAACTGCCAGGGTTCCCCAGCGCCATAAACAATCATGTAGCCCTTCAGTGTGTTTATGTTCTGCCCCTCTGCACCCAACACATTTACGTGTGTCTGTGTTTGTTTGTGTTTGCCTGCTCTTTTCTTGTGCTCACGCTTTTGTACAAGCAGCGTCATTAAGGTATTTTGCCGGATGTTTAAACCGAACATGAGCCGTGGTAGTGCCCTGGGCCTCCCGTTGGGTCTGTCTGCACTTGAACTGCCGAGCTGTGGGCTATGCGCATGCTCGCGAATACAAATTGTTTTGGTATAATTGCAGCTTTGGAGAGAGCCCCAATGCGATCTTTGAGGAACCACATATATGTACAGAGCAGATTCACAATAAGACACCTACCGCTAGTATAGCTGACTCTCCGAGTAATATGACTCAACATCACAATGGCCTTTGTTCATTGTTCTCTAGAGTCGCATTCTGGCTCATGCTCTTACTCTAGTCACTTCAAAACTGCTTTATGTGATGCGCAGAGTCGACGTTGGAATAGAGAAAACTGGAAGGTCTCAGACAAGCCATACACCCTTCGTCCCCAACCCAGGTATGCTGTGTTAAACCAGTATCGCATCCTTCTGTGTTGCATGTGATCACAAGAACGATCACAAGAAGGGGCGAATTTGTGGCATTGTGGATATCTTCTCCATTTGCCTAGAAGGGCGCGCCATTTGTTGCCATTGTACACCGTATTTACTATGGATACGTACACTTCTCTTAAAAGAACCCTATATATGGCTTGTAAAAGGGAACAAAACTCAACAAAAAAGTGAAGGAACTCGTCGCTTCTACAATGCTTTAGCCAAAGGTTTGTGGTACGCCAAATCCCCAATTTTGCTTCGTGTAGTCCTCCCCTATTTAAGTGGGTACTCTTGGTACCAGGTTACACTCACCAGCACCCTTTGCTCTATATGCCACTATATAGTTCGCTTGGGTGTTTCAATTCGGTGTACTAGACTGGGCAGTTGCCCAGGGACGGTCCGCTTCCATCAGTCGAGACTCCGCGGGGATCATTTCGCTGTCGTTCCCTGCTTTGGTATATATTAAACAGTAAGTCCAGAACCGCTTACAAGGTGGAAAGGGGAACATTTCGGACTTCGTGCTGAGGTGTTTCCCTGGGGGATTTCCGCTTCGCAGCGGCAAAGCTCGCTACGTTTGGGAGCTCATCTTCATCAGAAACTGTATTGTTATGTCAGCATCCATGTTATTGAATTTTTCAAGAATATTAGAGGCTTTGCTGCTTCTTTCCCGCATTCTTTTAACTGCTGAAAGGGGATGGACCAATGGTCTACTGCTGATTCCGAGATGCTCGGTGCCGCTGTACCTTCACCTGCATTTCACTGGACAGTAGCACCCTCAGAGTGAACGTTTTGTCTTTTCCTTTGAAATAAATGGCATCGGCACCTCTGAAGAATTTTTCGTCATCCGTAATTTACCAAGTGGCAATAGTATGGGAGGCCCACCAGGAAATTCGGTGCATTTCAACAGACAGTCTCGAGCTTGGCTGAGCAGTGTGTCTTTCCTGCTCACGCTGGTGGCCAATATGCATGCTTCTAGATGGTCGGCACCCGTATTTGCTTGTAGGGACACCTGTGGAAGTACAAGAGAGTCAGGAATGCCTCGCCAACACCATGCTGAGAGTGATGGGGCAAGGGAAACACCTGAGTGTTTTGACTTCTTAGACGATTGCCTGGCTCTGGAGCAAGAATATGGTGCTGGGATGAGTGGACGTTTACCCGTACATGGCACGGGCCTGGAAGGTTCTAAGACGGAACCGTTCGCACTACTGAACCACACTGCAGCTGTATTTGATCAAGAAGTAGGGCGGAGGCAGTCTGCCTTTGCTTGCTACCATATCTTGTCACCAGCGGTTGATGTAGAATGGGTGAATGATGATGGGCATATCGCTAATGTACACTGGTGGCGATGTGTATCCTCTGCGGATGTCGATGCATGTTTTCACGTTGCCAGAGGCAGCTGTGGTTTGTGCGCCGTGCGGCACGTGGCCAGGGGTAGATATCCACGTTTGGATTGAAGACATTTCGAGTATTTTGGATTAGGAGACCCTGCACCCGAGTCAAAAGGTGTTTCCGATAGAGGTCGGCGATTATGAAGAGCCGTCTACACATGGGGCTCCTCCCGAAGTCACCTGCAGAACCCATCCTTCTGACGATGCACCAATAATACTGGTGAAAACAGCGGAACAGCAGTAGGCAACTCAACTTCTGTATGGTACGGGTGTAGAGCTCAAAACTCGGTCGGTGCGCCCAGCCAAGGATTTTATGCCAGTTTTTGCCGCTTGAAGAGCAAGGGACCCTAGCTCCACTTTTGACTTCCAGCATTGCCTCTTCAGCCCACTGTCTGCAACAATTCATGAATTAGCTTTTCTGATGGGGTATTCGTTCCGAATCATGCGCCATACTTCACCGTTTTTTTTCGTGGACTAACCACCACTCCAAGACAAATTGCTTCTCTACTACTCTCTCGCTGGGAAGCAAGTTGCTTGTTAGTCCATACGGCGTCATGTGCTTGACGAAGTCCTGGAGTTGAAGAGGGTGCGTTTTTGCTCCTGTGCATTGGGGTTCGCGTTCAAGGCTGGCTTTAGGACGAGTGTCCAAAAGATGAACCTCATGTGGGCCCATTTGACAACAACGATATTTTTTAATGAAATTTTGGTATGGTGTTCTCTGATACTCATCGCATAATACTACAAGAGGGGATTGATATATCGTGCAGTGGGAAACTGTATTGCTGGCTGGCATTCAATTATCTTTACTGAGCAGTGCTTTTTTGGACCCGCTCCGTTTTGTTGGTTTGCTACCATTATCCAGTTGATTAATCAGCCTTACAAATGCAGAGGCATCTGCCCCAAAATGCTATAAACTACAGTCCAATACAGTGTCTAGGTGGACGAAAGACAGGAGCAAAATCAATTAATGTGCATCCTGGTGCATGCCGAAGCAGCAGCAAACAACAAATAGCGCAGCAAATCTTCGGTCTTTCTCACAAACGCGCAGCGGTAAGAAAATACAGTCCGAAAATTGACACTTCTAATCATTATTTGCCAGTGGGATCTCGGTGCATTTGACGGCTATTCTCAAGGTGAGCAAATCTAAATTTCGCTTAAAAGGTGAGCGTTCAGTTACGAAATTATGGGCGTCCTTTCCTGACGCCAAGGACGAACGAACCACTCTTTGCGGTTCCCACCCATCCTGCTTTCGGGTAGACCCTTTGCATTGATTCTGTACCTTTCTGCAGCAGGAATAGGATGGTTTGACACCATTGAAAGCTGTCTAGGCAACGACTGCTGAGATAAGACTCTCCAGTACGAAAACAGGGAAGCACTGCCTTCCCGCCGGCTGTCGTGAGAAATTCCCTGCGACGAATTTCGCACACCACAGCCATGAACGCCAACTAGCAAAAGTGTTTGTTTCCCAACTTCAAGAAGCTGTCCGTCAAATTGACGTGTTCACGAAGTTTTATTCTACACAGACAATAGCAAACCGCTACGCAAATGGCAATTTCATCTCTTCTAGTATTGATGAGGGAACGAGCCAAGAATAAAGCAGTTGGACCAAAGCATCATTGTGACAAGTGCGGCCAAAGTCTCACATTTTGGTTGGTTTTGGAAGCTCTTGGAAATGAAGTGCTTGGACTATGGAGCTCCCGCACTTGGTGTTGACGTCGAAAGCTGCTCAGGCTTTCATCCACTTCCAGGGGAGCAGCTGTCTTTCCGTGGTTCTACGAATTGACATAACCAGTATTTTCCAGTTGCGGTCAACCACTATGTGAACAGCCAGTGGGTTCGATTCCCTTTTGACGAGTTAAGAAGCAACAGTCCCCTGCGGTGTCATAAGAGCTTGCGATTTCGTGCAGATGAAAAGAAAACGGCCACCAGTTAGAGGTGCCCTTTCAAGAAACAATAAGGCTCTTGCCGCGGGTAGGTGAGCAACGCGCAAATGAAAATTGAGGTACGGTGCATTGCCCTTGCATTTGTATTGATTTACGACTACGTACGATTGTAACGTGTAGGGCGCTGATCGAGTAGAGCTATTATGGTCGCAGCTTGCGGCGTCTCCCAAAATGTTTTGCCAGTCAGATGGGGTCTGGATTGTATCACCTGATATTGAGTTTCCGCATGGACGTCTGGAGATGCTAATGGTCATTTAGCTGAGTGCTGGACTACAGCTGCAGCAAGGCTGCACAAGGAAAACTAAGCAGGTTTTTCCAGGCTGGTTGCACATGAGCGTCAACGTACACTGAGAAGGAATGAAACTGTAGCGGGCAACCACTACACAGGTATGTATTGCCCCGTAAACTAGCTCACTGGAGACTACTCGTGCGTTCATGCGATATCAACTTTCAACGCAGACAGCATAAGTCAACGCTGTTGAGATGCGCGAAAGGGTCCTCAAAAGCGGGACCAAGACCGAGTCGACTGCGCAGCAACAAATGCTGCCGGACAGATTCTGTAGCTGCATCTATGTGCTTAATTGGAAGTGAAGCACCAAAGACTTCGTCTACTCCCTGAGCTGCGTGCTTTTTGGAGTGAACTGTGTTGTTGGTGGGGAAGAGTGTAGGCAGCAAATGAGGCCGAATGCACAGGCAGTACGACGGTATGGCCTACCAGCAGCGCCTTCAAATCCTAAAACAAAATGTTTCATTGCGGAAACTGCGTGCGTTTCACGACCAAGGAGGGCAATGCGCACAAGTGTTGATGTACTTCACCAGCCTCTCTAGACAGGGCACACTCATTTGCGGTACAGCTTGCTACGCACAAGGCAGCGTTATGAACAAAAATACTGTACAGAACAAAGCTAATGATCATCATAATGATACTCAAAGGCTTCTAGTGTACGTAAGACCATGCGCACACCACACTGCAACGGTTCAACAATGCGAAAGCAAACCGCACCTCGAGGTGCTTGAGGGAGGAGTTTCTCAGAACACATTGCCACTCTACTTGTGCGCATTGGCACCCTCCATGTAAGCTCAATAATGTGGAGGACAACGCAAGCGACTAAAAGATGCTCAAAGGCGAATATCCACAGTATCGGTGAAACTTGAAGCACGCCGACGTTCAACAGCTCAGCGATCCAAACAAGACGGCCACCAGTTGCTGGAGAGGTTTTCGCAGAAGCTGTTGCTACTTCACTGGTGCATCTGTGCATCCCCCCCGTAGGTTCAAACCGTCAACAATGGCGAACCGGCTGGCTGCTGAATATCCAGGCATGCTTCCCCAAGGAACAAAACAGAGAGCGTAAGGGGCTTCTCATAAGCATCGTTGTACTTCGATATGAGCACAATGACGAGAGGTAGGCCCACAGCTCTAGAGAGATTCTGTATTTTCACGCCAAGGATCCCATTTACGATCCTTGAATACCGATGGGGCAACTGGAGAACAGAATATACTATTTTTAAGCGCAATAACGTCGCCAGGCGGCGGGCGCATGCCTGTTTTGTAAATGTGGATCGCATCAACTAGGCGTCTTACCAACCTTCTGTTGACCACCGAGACTCGGTTCGATATTGATGGCAAAAGAGCCGACGCATCAAGGTTGAAAACTGCTATGAATTTCTTCCACCAAGAGGAAACATCCATACTGTCTCCGAGGAGCTGAATGGTACAGACAATCGCGTCGAATGCCAAGAAGTAGACTGCCACAACTTCGGCTACAAACACGGGACGATTGCTCCGGTGACGCCTCTGCGCATAGTGCCACACTGACCCTATCAACCCTTCAACCAGACTCATGAGCGTGTTCACCGCCTGCTGGTCGAGTACTTTCAGGTCAAACAACTTCTTGATACCCAGCAGGAAAAAATGGGGCGCCATTTTGGCTCTGTCTGAAATAAAAATACTATCGACGGAGATACGTCTTATGACCACATCATTATCCAGCACTGGATATCGCACATGCGGGTGGCTCCAAATATCCGGCATGTTTCGGGAATCACGAAGCGGTTGCATTGCAACAACTGAATCCGCTGACTCTCTAGAATCTGTCTCCCCAGCAGCGGAAGGCGCCAACGGAGCCTCCTCTTGTCCTTGTGACTTGTTGATTATCTCTGGGATATTATCTAACCATGCTTCCGGAGCCAAAGCCTGGTCAGCACCCCGGCGACCATGACGCGTTGGAGATGCAATCGGTGGAGCAGTTTGAGCACCTGCCACTTGATTATAATCAGGCGGGAGGACACTGTGAGGTCGTAGCATCGGTTCATCTGTGCTCTCTTGGACTGGAGCAGGTAAGACGTGCGAGACAGGGGTCCCGTCCAACGCCGGCGAGGTCAACCTACGCGATTCATGTTCTGCGGCGGCAGCGTGTAGCACCGAAACCAACCCTTCTACCCGACTTGCCGGGTCGGTGTCCAACTGCAAGGTGGCCCTTTGCTGGAGAAGCCCAAGTTCGCTCTCCAATTCCAAGCAATCTTCTATGATTGACAGTTCATCTGGGCCGACACCGTACCCGTCATCAGACAACCTGCGATCTGTAACACCTGACACATGTTTTCGTCTGTGCCATGTATTACATACAGAGATGAGAATCAGAAGGGTTGCAACGGCTACAGTGGCGGCCAGCGTGAGCCGGTGCAGCCGATTCCTTGGGCGTGTGCGGGAGAGGGCGCCCTGAAGATCATATTTAGTTACTACTGGAAATTTATCAGCCTTTTCACTGTGCTCATGTGGAAGCCATAATGTGGGCGTCCTGCCATTTTGCAGTTCACCAGGCTGTTCTTTACCACTTAAGACAGAAGGCAGCATTCCAGAGTTAGGCAAGTTCCTCCGCAATCGAGATGGAGGCAAAGTTGGAGAAATGCTTCTATTTATTCAAATTTCTACCACAAATAACAAAAAAAAAGCACCAATGGGACATTGATGTGTCCTTGACAGTGATGTGCGGAAACGTCAACTCCGCCACTAGCATTTGCTCTGGCAAGGCCCGAACACGGGCCACAAGCGGAGCTACTCCGCACGCCATGTAGGCCAGCACCAAAGACCTCGTTTAACACCACTTCTTCCTAAAATATTTAACCGAGGTGGTTGTAAACCGAATGCCAAGTAGATTAATGCGGAAGAGTTATGCGGGAAGAAACTTTTGTAGCGGGTTTTTTCATACAGGCGCCAGCCGTAGAACACGTGTAGCGTAGTCTATTCAAGGCTTATGAACGCTTCCTTATCCTTAGCAGACTACATCCACTCAAAGAGGCAGTACTCATGCACGTAGGCGGCCAACAAACAACTAGAAGTCTCCATTTTTTTTCTTGTAGCATGAGTGCATTGTACGGTGGGAGGCCTAGATCTCATCGGATGGGTGTTGCTAGCTACAGTGGAGCTCCGTAAAAGCAGCTTACATCCTACTATAGTCTCCAGCCATCGTGATCCCAGCGGTCGAAGAACCTGGAGCTGGGGGAGAGGAGGCGCCCTCCTTGTGTAGCACCTGGTGTGCAATGTTGGCAAGGCTGCTTGAAGTGGGTGCAGTAGCCCTTACCCTGTCCTTGTAAACAAATGGAACGCATGCAGAAGTTCTGGGTACAGTGTGTACGGTGTTCATGCATACAGCCAAGAATGCTGGTTTTGTGCTTGTATGTGAGGCTGCCTTGCGCCTTCTGGTGTGTGATGCAGCAAGATCCGTTGCAACTCATGGCACGCACCCTCCTCTACCACAGCTCCAGTAGGCTGGGTCGATGTGGGCAGGGCGCGTGGAGGCTGGAGAAGGAAATTATCATCTTTTAAGGGACTCTTTACTTGTATTTCAGTTGCATTCAAGAAGGCGCCCGATGACTGGGTAGGGAGGCCGGCTGTTTCAAGTACTCCGACTAGATTGCAGTTGCAAATAGTCACCGTCTAAGTTTCAGGACCCGTGTTGTACCTGATAACACTGCCTAGTAGGCGGAGTGCAGGCGCGAACAACGAGCCCATCCGAATAGAAGCGAGGACAGTTGCACAGCCGTGAGTAATGTATTGAAAAATCCTCATCTATACGTTCAAATATTTCTGTACAATGTCAGCATTTTGCTTCTCATTCACGACAGAGACTGATCAGAAGCTGCCCTTCTGTTGGATGGCGACCAAAGGGTGGGAGCCTCATTGGGTTGTGTGGAGCGCAAGTCCTGCATCCCATCCAATGCAAAAGGTTCTTACTGGAAACCGTAATCATGTAGAGGGTTTCCGCTTTTGCTAGCTATCCAGACTGTGGAGTGTCAATCACGATTTCTTGAGATTAGTCAGTGAGGCATGACTGGTTATATAGGTGGATTGCCTGCTTGTATTCAGCCGGAATAGTGTAGGAACACCTACAGCACCTGTGGCGTGCTTCGCAACTGTATGCTAGAAGCATTGGTTTTTGAACCAATGCTTTTTGGAGGCACAAAAGAGTTTGCTTTTAATGCAAACAGTCGACGTCTTAAGGTCTCCTCTATCGGCAGCAGGGATCGAACCAGATTCAGAACAGACAGATGCCATTTTGGTATGCGTGGTTGCCCTTCTACGTTCTAACGGACCTTGAGAACTTCCCTAGTCTCGAGCCGTACTCCCGCAATTTAATTACTGATTTTACTTGCATCGCAGCCCTTCTAATAAATTTCCACAAAAACGATGGATAACCCATTTGGACAGGGAATCATGACGCAACCACCGTTAGTCTCATCAGACGCGTGTACTGTAGACGGCTTCTCCAGTGCATACACTCCCGAATACCACTTAATTACCATTTCCTACAAACATTGCTTCAGAGAGCTGGTGCAAAAGTACCAGTAAGTGACAGAGAGCCCTATGCGGTCTGATAGGGACTGAAAGACTGTGGACACTAAGTGTGGACACTAATTGTAAGACAAGCCGTTCACTATTTAAAGTGATAATGAAAGTGGCGTACCTGGAGGAGATTTTCGAAGGAGAATTACAAACCAATACAACCATATTCACCGTCGATACAGGCATACGATGATATTTTTTGACTGTATGAGGGGAGAGGGCGGAACCAACGTACTTATGCTAGAAGTCCACTAAAAGCAGCTGATCTATTTCCGTAGTCTGCACTATTCCTTTAATGAGCACTTCTCCCACCTGCTGCTGCGGGATAGAGGCTGGCCTGCTACGACTACAAACAAGCCTTCTTAGGTGAAATGTACGAAAGCTGTAAAACATCGGTGGTCTTTATTACTGCCTGCCATTTGCTTAATAGGGTCGGGCAACGGTTAATGTGCTCACTTCATGTAGGCTTCCCAGCGTCACCCAGGCTGTGCTACGATATATCTGTGGTCCACCGCTGCTAAAGCCCCTGGGCTCATGACCCCTAGAGACTGGGAATGGAGGTCAGTTGCTTTCAACCAACTCCTAACTGAAGCACTTTGGCTCCACGGTAGCTCACCGTGGTCCTCCAAGTTCGGCTCGACATAGCCTAAGACACAACTACGTAGGGCATCTCGAGCTCTTGTACCAATGCATACTATGAATGCATGATGACTCGCTGTAAAGGCGCATATGCTGTAAATAAAGCAAATGAAGGGGATTATTAATGCAAATAGTGTGCGGACTGGAGTGCAGATGCTGTCGAAGTGGCTAGAGCGATAAGTGTCCCCCAGCAGAGGGATGCAATGGCCAGAAACCAGAATTGCAACTGATGTTGCTTAATTATAAGGAATATCTGACTTTATTGAATACTCGTATGGTCCATACATGCTATTTCGAGAGACATGCAGTCGCAGGCACCTCATACCCGCGCAGCAGACACTATGCCACAGCGACTGCCCACTTTATTGTGGTTGGCGCGTTCAACGGCAATTGCACTGCAACTTTCCTAACGTGCCACTGCCTGCATCACCATTATTTTTGTACATTTGTTTCATGAACATGCCAAGTAATGGCTTTCATTTAGGCAATTACTGCATGCAGAACTAGGATATGCAGGCTGCCCGTTCTTAGGGCTTGCCGGAACATCTACTGGTTGCCGAGCTGAACTCGCTGACCATCTTCGTTAGGGAGACATGAATTGCAGAAACTGTAAGATACGGAAATATTCCTCCGACTCTCTCCCTGTATTGTTGGCGGAGCCATTTCCTCATCTGGAATGCTGCGCACTGTCGCGCACGACAGATTTCACACTGGAATACGGCGGAAGGGCATGCCCGAATCTCCCCTCCCACATGCACAGATTAAAGAAGCCGGTGAATTTACAGTAAATCCAGCTCCATGTATTTTTCAGAGACTTCGATCCCACTCACGGCCGCAAAGTCTGCCGTCGCTGCTCTCCCTGGTTGCTGTTATATCTATTGCAACCATGGTAATTATCGTCTCAGTATGTAATGCATGGCATAGCAGGAAACATTTTCCAGGTGTTACACCCCGTAGTCTGTCTGAAGACGGACATGATGCTGACGAAGATGTGCTGTCCATAGTAGAAGGTTGTTTGGAATTGGAGGCAGAACTAGGGATTCTGCATCAACGGGCGATCGTGCAGCCGGACACCGACCCAGTAAGTCGGGTAGAAGGATTGGTTTCGGTGCTACACGCTGCTGCCGCGGAACACGAGTCAGGGCAATGGATCTCGTCGGCGTGGGATGCAACTCCTGTCTCCCACGTATTATCTGCTCGAACCCAACAGCACACAGATGAATCGTTGCTACGGTTGCATAGCACCTTCCCGCCGGATGATACACAGAAGGCAATTGCGCACACTGCTCCACCAATTGCATCTCCAACGCGTCATGCTCATCTGGATGCTGCCCAGGCTCTGGATCCAGAAGCGTGGTTAGATAGCATTCCAGAGATAATCAGCAAGGCACAAGAACAAGAGGTGGTTCACTTGGCACTTCCCACTGCCGGGGAGACAGATTCTAGAGAGTCATCCACTTCAGTTGTGGCAATGCAAACTCTTCGCGATTCTGTACATGTGCCAGATGAGGAGATTCGCAACCACCCGTATGTGCGACTTCCAGTACTGGCGGAAGACGTGGTTGTTAGACGCATCAATGTGACAGAACTCTTTACCCCCTTTCGTAGCCGACTGCCTCCACACATTTTCCTGCTCAGGTTGAGAAGGCTGTTTGCACAAAGAGTACTCAGGCAAAAGGACGTGAACATGCTCGTGGCTGCGACGGAAGGGTTAATAGGGGCAGCCTGGTACCAGGCAAAGAAGACCAGTCGGCTGAACCGACCAGTGTATGCCGCGGAAACCTTTGGAAAGTACTTCTTGGCGCTCGACGCAATTGCTTGTACCATTGAACTTCTGGGGGACAACATGCAGCTTCCCTTGTGGTGGGGTAAATTCATTGCTCCCTTTAACCATCACCCATTAACACTTCCACCCTTAGGCAACCGCATCGGAGGGTTTTACAGGAGGCTGATAAGTCGCATACTTAATGCACTTGACGTGTACAAAACAGGAAGACGCCCAGAACTCAAGGAAATAATTTCGCTTAAAAAGAAGCTGTTTTGTTTTCGAGATGCTCCTGGAGGCTTCAAGGACGGTATTTGGGATCCTTGGCGTGATGATGCATACGCATTTTCGAAATCTGGCGATGCCTCTTGTTAATATGTTCAATTGATGCACTTACAGTCCGCCGTCGGTTCCTGAAGGAACTACATCCGAATATTGAGCAGCCAGCGGCTTGACAACGCTGAAGGTTTGGGCTTGCAGTGAGGGCGCAAAAGTGCACCACTAGGGCTGCAATAGTTTTCAAGGAGATCCCCAATGTATCTCGAGGCCGGATTTGCTGTTTTTTCGCACACCCCTTGCAGTCTGGCCTGCTGAGGGATTTACGTGCACTAGAATTTCGCCTTTTCGCAACTCCATGCTGATCGTTTGCGGAGTCTCGTGCAATGTTTTTGTGTATAGGGTTGTGCTTTGGTTGACGAATTGTGACGATGCCGAGCGATAATGCAAAGAGCTGTGGCTGATCTAAAGCGGCAGGTACAGGTTATTTGGAAGGGAGACCACAGCACTCTCCTGCCGTAGAGCGCATTGCGTTTCTGCACGTTTGGTGGGCTCCAACACATCTACAGCAGTTGCTGACAGGAACCACCTTGAACTTTGTGCGGAATAAGCACTACTCCCTCTGTACGCGCCTTCCAAGCAACAGCACACAGCACACCCAGTGCTAGATCAGGCTCGTAGTTCCAATCAGCAAACGCTACAGGGAATAACGTTCCTTAACGTTGCATTTGCACTTTCTGTTATTTACAGTCCAGCTGCATCAGCATTCCGGCCGTAACACGACACTGCAGGTGCCGGCAGCGCAGCTGAGTCGTGGAATGTCTGCCCAATACAAGGGCACGTCGCTGTACGTCGTATTTCATCTGCATGTCGTTCACCTAAGCGCCACAAGCGCCTTGCTAATTGATGTGGCATCTTAGCCAAGAATGCTCGTCCGTACCTCCCTGCAGCGCAAATGTTTGCTCGGGTAGAGTCCTCCACTGCAGGCCTTAAGTAAAACTCTGAATATGATAGATTAAGCGTTCACACCTGGGCATATGCCTCATGTTCCCACAGCTTAAGAAGTGGTTGAACCAAGGCAACTGTTGCTATGGACTTTAGACGGAACGGACTGGCTCCAAAGTTTCCGTCAGCGGTGTAGGCTAACCTCTCTTAATGAGAGTTTACAGTCCATGATGCCGATCCACCAGCCGCCACCTGCAGCTTTGATGGGACTTCATAACGATGTTATTTTTCGCTTCATTGCAGACGGCCATTCCTTACGCTTAACACACCCCATCCATATGAGTAGGTATTATCGATTTACATGCCAGAGTATCCAGGCAACACCATTTGGGCCACTTGGTACTTGATTTGAAGTGCAGCTCACCCCCACTATTGCAACGAAGATTGACAGGGTACAGCGTGCCGAAGACTGCTTGGGAAGTATCCAGAGGTTGGTTGCCCTGGCATGAGCTAAAACAGACATTAGCCACCTTGTGTAGTGCTAGCGGGTTCTGCAGGTGCTCAGTCCACGGGATTTCCAGATGAGCTCAGGTGAGTCTTCTGGAAAATCTCAATGGGGTCCACACAGGCTGGTCTCACACTTTCTTAAATAAGGGATTAGCGGTGGAGTTGGTTAGGTAACAGTTAGAAGGGACCAACTCCACCGCTAATCCCTTATTTAAGAAAGTGTGAGACCAGCCTGTCTGAAGTCCTTATAATCATGCAGGAGTGAAATGTGGATGAGTGTAGTGTGACCTACTGAAACCCTCTAAATCGCGGACCAATATGAAGTGTCGCACCAAATAGCGTGCGTTCCACTTTAATCTTCGGTGCTCTCTTTTTCCAGCAGCTCCACCCAGGCGGAGTCTTCCTCTCAAATAGACGTTTATGCTAAGGGGCGTCCGCATGTAAACGTGCGACTTAATCATACGACCCGCTGTGATGCCGACCATTTAATCAATGCTGGGTTGTACCAGTCTCCGCCTCCACACTCCAACCATACCTCGAGTGGCCAACAGAGAAATATCCTTTGGACTAAATTGTCTAATTCGCATAGGTCGGTAGTGCAGCTCTTTTCATCTGTGAATCTTGCGCAAACAAGTCACACATGAACTCCTTTTCAGAGTACAGTCGGGATGCGCCATTCTCTCGGGAAAGCGGTAGGGGAATGGCGTGAGTTACTATTTGTGAATCCTTCCCCCTGTAGCATCTGCATGACGGAAAACAGAAAATCTAGTACTGCAAATACAGTATAGCTCTAACGTAAATTCAGAGTCATACACATTCTCCATGGGACGTTTTTGGCTCTGGTCCTATTGGCGAATAAATAAGAATATATACGCAGATGCGCGTGTTTTGCTTGCGTGGAAAACTTTCGTGGAGGTGGCATGCTTCACTATGGAGCGAATGCCGTACAGCGACATTCCCACGAGACGCAGGCTGAGCAACATGCTTTCCTTCCCCTCGCGCCACACTTAAGTCCTGTAGTTTGCAGTCCACCCGGGAGCATATACACTATACACGGAAGTATGCAGGAGCATTCTTTGTTATGGTGCCACTCTAAGCAGCAGCAAGGTGCAGTGGTGGGTAGGTAGGCCACTAGCAGATGAAGGTTGCGGTACGGAGGATTGCCCTTCTATTTTGGTAGAGGGTACTTCGTACTCTAACATGTACGAGGCTATTTAAGTGGGCCTGATTATGATATTGGCAGTTTACGTTGTCCCCCAAAGCTTGTCAATCGGATGGGGTCTGTATAGAGTCCCCCAAGAAAGATGCGCATCCCAGGATATTTGTTAAGGTGGCCGTTTAACTGTGTGCTGGATGGCAGCTGCAACAACGTCCCATAAGTGGAGCCAATAGACGCCACTGGAGGGTGATTACAGCAGCAAAGAAATGTGCATTCCAAACGATGCGAAGTTGCAGCGAATGCCCACTACTCTTGCTACAGGCATGTATTGCCCTGTTGGCAAATGCAAAGGTACGGTGCTACTGCACTTATGCTATCTGGGCCCTCAAGGACTTTAGATTCCTCGGGAATGCCAAGCAAGAGTACGGAGCAGACCGGGCTTGACTTCGCGGAAGGCACCTGCAAGGTGCTTCACCGTGCTGGTGATACAGCTGGATTGTTGATACACTAATTTGCCAACACAACTCTCATCCCCAGCGTTGCGCTGCAGCAATGCAATGCGCTCTACTACAGGCGAGTGCTGTTCCCGCCCTTGCAAGCGGCCCGTTCTTGTCGCTTTAGACAGGGCACATCCTTTTGTGCTATCGCACAGCGTTGTCAGTTTGCCTCGCAGAGCGCAACGTTGTACACAATAACGCTGCACGGGACACCGCAAATGATCAACGTAATGATCCTAAAAAGGCGAAATTTTAATGCACCTAAAACCCTGCTCACGCCAGACTGCAACGGCTTTGCAATGCGGAGTCCGACCCCAGTCAAGATACTACAAGGATTTTCTTGGCAAATATTGTAGCTCTAGTGGATCACCTGTGCTTCCTTTCTGTACACTCAGCACTGTCCAGAACAACGCGAATGATCACAAGAAAGACATCCAAATGAGAAGATCCACTGTGCGTCAAAACCCTGAACACACCAGGTTGCACTGATGCAAAGAAAACCTTCCACGTTGGCAAACCAATCTCAGTATATGACCCCTTCAGGAACCAGTCTTCAACTGAAATAGGCATCCTACAAATATCGTAGGCTCCGAATGGAACACGCCGGCGATATATATATGCCTCTATTTCTTAAAACCTTTCGCGTCCTCACGCCAAGGGTCCCATTTAGGATCCTTGAAGGCCTTAGGAGCCCTTGGAGAACAAAACAAAATATCTTTAATCGCAATTACTTCCTCAAGGCTTGGGCGTTTTCCAGTTTTGTAGATATCCAGGGCTTCAAGCAGGCGTACTATAAGCGTCCTGTACATCCCTCCCGTTCTCCTCTTTAATGGTTCCATCTTTGAAAAAGGATCACGATTAAAAATAGCTACGAATCCTTCCCACCACAACGGAAGATTCATATAGTCCCCCAAAAGTTGGATGGCACACACGAGCGCGTCAAATGCTAAAAAGTTGTATCCAGTGGCTTCAGCGGCATAAACGGGTCGATTGTTCCGGAGACTTTTCTTAGCATGATACGACACTGCACCTACTAGCCCTTCTGTCGCGGTTACGAGCTCGTTCACGGCTTCCTGGTCGAGTTCTCTCAGTGCAAACAACCTTCGCAACTGGTCCAGGGAGCAATCAAGACGCAGCTTGCTGTTGTATGAAATAAGAAGGTTCTCCACCTTGATAGGTCTAATAACCACACCTCTTGCCAGCACTGGTAACCGCACGTATGGGTGGTTCACGATATCCGATCCACTGTCCTGCATGTTTTTTCTCTTGGGGACATCCTTTGTCACATGCGGAGTCGATAGCTGTCCACCCTGTCCACCTTTCGATTCGTCAACAACGGAAGGCAACACATTGCCCCCTCCATACTCGTCAGGATCGTTGATTATCTGTGGAACTTCATCTAACCACGCTTCCGGATCCAATGCATGGGTTGCATCCAATAGACCATGACCGGGAAACGATGACGAAGGTTGAACGGTTGCTCTCCTTCCATCGTCTTCAAGACGAACAGCACTTTGAAACCCATGCATAGTGTGCTCTTTGCGCTTTGGGGTTTGACCAGGGAAGGCATGCGAGGAGGGATCCCAATCCCATGGCGGCGGGATCCTTTGCATCGCTTCATGTTCGGAGGCAGCTGTGCGCAACGTCTCAACCAGCCTTTGCACGTGACCTGCTTCGTCGGCATCCGGCTGCTGTACTTCCCCTCGTTGCAGAAACCCCAGTTCTGCTTCCATCTCCAAGCAACCTTCTATGATTGACTGCTCATATTCGTCAATATCATGACTGTTTTCAGAAAGCATGCGACGTGTAATGCCTGACAAGTGTTTTTTGTGATGCCATGCTTTACATAGGGAGACCATAATTAGCAGGGTTGCAACGGATACAATGGCGACCACCCAGAGCACAGGTGGTCGATTCTGTTGTCGTGGGCGGGAGCAAAAATCATGAGGAGTACATGGTGTTGAGGTTATTACAAGCTTCTCAACTTGTTTATTATACGCATGCGGAGAGGAATACTTTGGAGTCGATCCATTCTGCTGGTCTTGAGGGTGCTCGTTGTCATGTAAGATGGAGCGCAGCATTCCAGTGTTGAGGAAATTGTCCCTCCAGGATGCAGATTAGGCAGAGGAAAATTTTCCATATCTTGCAGTTTCCGCAATTCATAGCAAATAATCCAACAGGATAGGAATGATGGTGTATTCTAAAAATAGGTATGCAGCAAGTACAACCTAGCAACCAGTGTTCTGGAAAGGTTCCTGCCCGTGCCCCTTCCTGCTCCAGCCCGCACACGGTGCAAGGGGGCCATGGAGTGTAGGCCTTCTTTGTGCCATCGCTTGGCATGTCAATAGGTAAAATGTCAAGTAGAACAATGACATAAACAATAGCAAATTAAGAGTGGTGCAGTGCCAGTGGTGGCTGTGGCGTGTACAGTAGTGTGGGATGTGGAGCACGCTCGGTTGTCCAAAGATGGCATATGCAGTTCTACTTGCGTGCCTACTTCCTACCGAGGAACAAATCATTATTCAGCAATTGGTTGCTGTTTTAATCACTGTAGCGAGAGCCTTCTCGATCCTGTCAAAGAATCGCCACGAGCTACTATGGTGTAAATAGATTGCACGGTTACAACACACTGACCAACACTGGCAAGCCTGTGCGAAGTTGCCCTTAATCGGCCTTATAGGCAGCCTTCACGAAAGCAGCAGTCCTTATCAATATTTTACAGTGCCAGTGGTGCTGGTAGTGCAAGAATGCTTGGTTGTGCCTGCATGTGGGCACGTGCGGCTGGCTGTCGTGTGCTGTGGCGTTACTAGCAAAAAGGCACCTAGCGGGCCGCTTCCCCTCCAGCAGGTCGAGGCGCTTGGAACCCTTCTTTCAGGATGCCGAGATTTCCTGTGGGGGAGAACAGGGCAAGGGGTGAGCTGGTCTAAAATATTCCCTCGTACATACTTCTGCTACATTGCAGCTTGCGGCGGTCCCTAGATAACTTCGAGGGCTGTCGCCACATGTAGGTTCTATCTGCACCGGAGAAGAACGCGGCAGTTGATGGCAATACCACTTTTGGATCGATGTATGGAACTATGTATTGCCCCTTGGACGAACGCAGAGCTGAAATAATACATTTTCTTGCTGCTCACTTCGTGGGCGCAGTCAAGTGTCAGGGGTGTTCCAAAAAGATAGTAAAGGAGTGCATCAAAAATGGCTGTGCGCCAGACAAGTGAAAGCTCGCATTGCTGCCGGATGGTGCACCCAATTGGTCATGCAGTGCTACGAAACACTTCTCCACTACCTACGGGGCCTGTCAACTGACATCAATATGGGGAAGATTCAGTGTGGTGTGCTGCTGACTCGCAAAAGCCTACATAGTGAATAAAGCCAAATCCTTAAAACGTACAAGGTAGTTTCTGGGAAGCCGACACATCCACAGCCGTCTCAAGTGCTGCTTGGTGAGCCAAAACGCTCCATTGCAGAAATGCCTCTTTGACGACAAGGACTTCGGATGCTCGCCACTGTAGACAACACCTAAGCTCACTGTCGCAATCGACAGCTTCGTCACAGTCTGCCTAGCCCAACACGAATTTACGGACGAAGCACTGCACAAAACACCGCAGACGGCCAACAAAATTATGCTTCGCCAGGAAATTCCAGTGTGTGTAGAACCCTATAAACGGCAGACTGCAACACGGTTATTCGATAAAAAGGCGGAACCTGACTTAAGGCACTCTAATGGTTGCTTCGAATGAAGCTGCCATCATAGTGACGCATCTAATGGTGATGGTAAAAGAGTGGCTGCTCAATCCCATGTGCTTCCTTCAGAGAAGAACTGGTCCGTAATTGGCGTCCCACAAATCTCGTCTTCTCTTATTTGAGCGCACCGAGGGAACAGGCGCCCTCACTTCTACGGGCATTCTGCATCCTCACGCCAAGGATCCCATTTATGGTCCTTGAAGTCACCAGGAGCACTTGGAGGACAAAACAACATCTTTTTAAGCGCAATTACTTCACTCAATGCTGGGCGTCTTCCTGTTTTGTATACATTGAGTGCATTAACTATGCGAGCTATCAACCTTCTGTAAAGCCCTCCAGCTCGCATGCCTACAGGTGGCAAGAGAGAAGAAGGATCATGGTTAAAAGCTGCTACGAATTCTTCCCACCACAAGGGAAGCTCCATATAGTCTCCCAAAAGTTCAATGACACACATAAGAGCATCGAAGGCCAAAAGGTAGTTCCCAAAGACTTCGGCGGCATACACAGGTTGTCTTTTGGGATGCCTCTTCTGCGCCAGGTACCACACTGCCCCTATTAACCCTTCTGTGGAGCTCACGAGCAAGTCAACGCCGGCCTGGTCGAGTACTCTTAGTGCAAATAGCCTCCTCAGATTGCGCAGGAAAACGTAAGGCCGTAGTTCCCTTCGGTGTGCCTCGAAAATTGCTTCTATGTCGATATGCCTTATAGACACATCATTCGCCAGCACTGGAAACCGCACATACGGGTGAGTGCGAATCGCCAATGTCTCATCCTGCGCGCCTCCGGCTTCAACTGTAGGCCGCATCGCTGCAATTGAAGCTGATGACTCTCCATCTTCTGGCTCATCGGCAGTGGAAGGCACCAACTGAACTTCCCCTTGCTCCTCAGGATCGTTGATTATCTGTGGAACTCCATCTAACCACGCTTCCGGATCCAATGCATGGATTGAATCCAATAGAACATGACCGGGAAACGATGACGAAGGTTGAACGGTTGCTCTCCTTCCATCGTCTTCAAGACGAACAGCACTTTGAAACCCATGCATAGTGTGCTCTTTGCGCTTTGGGGTTTGACCAGGGAAGGCATGCGAGGAGGGATCCCAATCCCATGGCGGCGGGATCCTTTGCATCGCTTCATGTTCGGAGGCAGCTGTGCGCAACGCCTCAACCAGCCTTTGTATCTGAGTTGTCTTGTCGGCATCCGGCTGCTGTATTTCCCTTTGATGCAGAAACCCCAGTTCTGCTTCCAACTCTAAGCAACCTTCTATAATTGACCGCTCATATTCGTCGTGTTCAGAAAGCATGCGACGTGTAATGCCTAACAAGTGTTTCTTACTGTGCCATGCACTACATACAGAAAAAATAATGAGAAAGGTTGTAACGGAAATAACTGCTGTCACCGACAGACGGAAAGGCCGGTTCTGTGGCCGTGACGGGGGCCAAGCGTCGCGAGAAGGATATGGTGTTGATATTATTTGAGGTACCCACGTTTCTTTATTTTGTTTATTTGAATACCAAAGTGTGGGAGCCGGGCTAGTCCGCTGATCTCGAGCGTGCTGTTTGCTATGCGAGACGGGAGGCAGCATTCCAAGTTTGCTGGAAGGGCCTTTCGCCCCAATTTGAGACAAGTTCAGAGGAGTGATTATACTTATTACCGATATAAAGTGACGGGAAGACAAAACATGTATTAGTAGGCCTAGTGCATCTTAATCGAGACAGTCAGCTGCATCCATGCCTTGTGGCAAGGCCCACAGGAAAGATGGTCAGCACGTCCGCAGTGGGCACGCACTAATGAGATCGCTTAATGCTATTATTTTGTCCATTAACTATGACAATGCCAATTACAATGGTATGCAAGGTAATGGAAGATTAAGAAGGGTGGAACACGAGTAGAGGTGACGGTGCCAATCACCAGAGTGTGACAGTCATGCTCTGTTACTCGCGCTTCTACTACTTGGCAGATTGGTCGCTGTGTAAGGGTATAATGAGACTTCTCAGTTGTAGAAAGGGAATTTTGTGAGAGGCGAACAAGGGAACAAATTAAAGCTTCACGAAGTAGCCGGCTTCTTCTTCGTTCCAAGCCTCGGATGGTACAATGGCCATGCAATCAATGACCAATCAATTGAACACAGTGTCAGCGAGTGAGCAGAAACGGTCATTCGGTATGCTGGCAGCAGCAGAGAAATGTGTCGTGTCAACAGGTGAAGCAAATGCTGTTGCAAAACCTCCGCAAAATTAGCCAGTAGCCATGCACACCCAATACCTGTTTCTACGCACTCGCTCACACCGCAAGCAATTGCTCATTATTTGCAAGGCCGCCAATGGCTGAACTGGGCTTAGGTTGAAGTAAACCATTTAAAAGCTCCACACATCGACGCCCTCAAGGTGTGAGGGAGCGTCAAGTCCGGACGTGCGAGGCAGAGGAAAGTGCGTCGACTGACGCAGATGTCAACCAGGGGAAAACGATCTGAAGGAACTTAGGATTTTCACAAATATCCCTTCGTTATCATGTGATAGAATGGGGGAAAGTATTTGTTTCAGACATGCGTGGGCCCATTGGGTAGGGATTCTGTGTATGTATTATTTTGGTGAATTGTATATCAGGAGGTTGGCGCACAGCAGCAGTGAGTGCAGTAACAGAAGAAATGAACGAGCAACTCGGCTTCACAGGAAGTTGCAGCTTGCTCAGCGAAGAGGTAGATGAGCAATACTAGATTCACCAGCATACTAAGACTGAGTAGCAGCGGTGACGAACCATCACGCCGGCTGTGCGAGCCTGACAACAACCTACGTTGCTTTACGTTGCTTATGGTCGTCAATATACATTTGTTTTCTCTTCGCGTGCTCGTGAGTGTATATAAATCCTAGAGATATCACATGGATCTTATTTGGAGCACAAAAAAATCGATCCACCTGTGTCTAATCCGTGCAGGATTCGTGGAGAAGGCAAAGGGTACGTCAAACCTTTGTGGCATACATGCAACCAATTGGTAGCATAGGATAAGGAGTGGACTCCGCAAGAATCAGACTCGCAGGTGCGACAAGGCGTATACAAACAATCTTAAGAACGAGCGGGGACATCTTAAAGCAGAAATGGGTACCGGCTGAGTGGATATGGGCAGCTGCCATTTAGAAGCCTATGCTGCTCCTGCTTTGCATGCCTTAAACACGGATGCCGTGAAGGAACTTCTATGACGTACACGGTAGCCGCAAATTTGTGTAAGTGATCCACGTTAGTCTGTAGCCCCGTAGATGCGCAGGCACGTCACACATGTAGTCTATGATGGTAATACCCCTGCTAGGTGTGCTGCAAGGAGTACGCAAAATTTAGTCTATCAGCCTCTACTTCGTATCAGGCGTCTCCACATTCAGATGCCTGCATATCCATGTTCGTACTTCATCATTATTCGTTATAGTTGAACTTCTGCAGCATCAGCAATAATGTTTGGCCTGCTTGCCAATCTCGCCGTAAAGTCTCGATTAGGGTGCGACTGGGGTTACAACAGAAAATTAGCAACTGCGTTAATTCGTCCTGTGAAAGTAAATGCGTCATAATATTTAGGGGTAGATCTGAATAGAGGTGTTCGATGCTAAAAATAATATTTACCGCAGAAGTGGGCAGATCGTCGCAAACAACACAAGCGACATATCGTATCTTTTGGGCCTAGTGCACATTTCCCTGGCATGGCCTACCATCACAATTTCCCTACAACACCGCAACACTGCATAACAAGACCTGCACACGGAGCAGCAGAATAACGTGCAGACTGGTGCGAACTGTGTAGTGCCGAAGAGGAGCAAGCCTCGTTAAATATCAACGGGCTGCGCCTAATCGGTGCAACATACCAACTCTTGGTTGCGTTGGTAGAGGCTATTTTCGGACAAAATCCCCGTTTCGGAGGTGTGTCACTGACTATTCCTTGTTTAGCACAGCAAGCATGGTGAACAGCATCAGGGGGGCAAGGACAAATTTCCACCTGAAACTTGGGGGAAAGGCTCTTTGGGGCGTTCCGCATATTAGGGCTTCGGATGCGGATTTATCAAACGAAACAAATGTCTCCATGGCTAACTAGCATCCTCCATCCCTTTGCCACGGAGTCCACTCAGGCGATTTAAAATACTTGGGCCTATCTTGGGAACAAAACACAAGCCTTTTCAGCGCAAGGACTTCCGCAAGATCCGCACGATTTCCCGCTTTGTAGACGAGAAGCACAGGAGCCAGGCGCTTTGCTAGCCTCCTACAAAATCCTCCAGGTCCAGCTCCTGAGTCCTGTAGCATCTTTAGATGTAAACGGAAATCGAAGGCATCAACAAAGTTGTTCCACCACAGATGTACCTTTAAACTGTCCCCCAAAAGCTGCATTGCGCACACAAGAGAGTCGAATGCCAAGAAATTGATCGCGTAGAGTCCAGCAATAGCAAATGGCCTGAAATCCCTGTGCCTTCTCTGCGCTCGAGCCCACATAATGCTTGTCAACGTTTCTACTGAAGCAATGAGGTTATCTGCATCTTCCTGGTTGAGGGTTTTCTTGACAAACAACTTTCGCATCTTGTGTAATTCCGCAGCGAGGGGCTTGTCCAACGCATGCGAAAAGAGCGGCCTCTCCAGCGCATGACAAAAGCGGGGCTTCTCCAGCCCATGCGAAGAGAACAATCTAGATGTGTCGATGTCCCTAGGTACAACACCAGCCTCCAACACTGGCAGTCGGACATATGGATGGGTCATAACTTCTGCGGATGGAGGAGTCAAAACAGACGTTGTTGACGCTTTTCCAGCGTTTGACGCACCACAATCAACCGAAAATGCCCGATCAGCCTCCTGTCTTTCAGCCTGAATGCTTGTGCACGGGACGGTTTGTATCCAACTGGCCACATCCAAAGCTGGAGAAACACTGCTGAAACGCGGTTCAACGGGCAATGACGAGTAACCACTTTGCATATATCTCAGCACATCACTTCCAGATGAAGAAGCATGCTGCCATTTAAGCAAATTGTTGTTTATGTTTGACTGCCTTTCATCGGGGACAACTTCACCAGTGGATATGCCACCGAACGCCACAGAACGCCCCTGCATTGATTCATGCGCTTGGGCAGCATCTGACAGCATTGAAACTAGCTCCGCTATCCGGCTTGACGAGTCGCTCTTGTCGGGGCTGGAAGTTGCCCTTTGGTAAAGAAGCCCCAAGTCTGCCTCTAACTGCAAGCATTCTTCTACGATGGAAAGTTGGTCTTCATCCATACCCTCGCCACCCTCAGACAACCTGCGACGCATCAATCCTGGCACCTGTTCTCGGTTGTGGACTGCCCTGCAAATCGACACCAATATTAGAATAGTGACAACGTAGACAGCGGTAGTCAAGGTTACGCGTGCCGACCGCCTCGGTGCCATCGAGACAAAAAGACCATTGCACTGGTCTGAATAACTCAGGGAACTCCTGTTATGCTGGATTTTGTGTGAAGAAGGCGCGTCTACACTTTCTCTGACTACTTCGTGCTCCTTAGCTGGGAGCGAAAGCTCCAGTGCCTCGTTAAGCTGTTGTTCCCTCGGCAACACCGTGCCGAGAAGAACAAAAGACAGCATTCCGGAATCCGAGGTCTCGCTGCCAACAAAAATATGAGCAAAGTCACTGAGAGGAATATTTGCAAAATTTCCTATAACCATCTACAGCGAAATCGATATCGTGAATACGCCCAGGTTGATCAGGAATGAAGACCTGTGCTATGTATACGGAGGCCTTATATTGAGTGCGCAGACGGGCGTAGCTTGGCACCTGCCTATCATCCGTTAACTAAATCGGCAGTCCAAAAATATTCATGCGAGTTAAATTCGTGATATATTTTCTACGATAGAAGGAAGCTTTATTCAGCATAAAAAAAAAAGTCCAACTTCACCTCTCAACGTTCGCGCCGATGCACGATGTGGGGTTGCTGCCTGACTCAAACGTGCCTCGCTGTTGGCCTAACCACCATCAGATACCCCCTTGTGCACTTCCCTCTATCACACATACTCTAAAGATATTTTCAGTCACTTATTTCTTGCTCACAAAAGCTCTTTAGGAGAGTCATTGTTGTGTCCGCAACTGCACCGTTCTCTCTTCATTCGCCCCATCTTACTATCACTAGGAATGGACGTAATGGTAACAGAAAAGTGTCATTGTACAATTGAAGCTGTAGTACTTCTAATTGGTCCTTTAATACTTACCACGTACCAGCAATGCCTGCAGGGTTAGGAAATTGCCATGGCCAACCCTGGCATGTGCTCAAAGGGCACGAATATTTCTCATCAACTCAGCTTCTATAAATGGGCGAATCTTGTCCTTCATTAGCGAAACTTGGAAATGAGATTCCTGCGTGTGGCATGCCGAGCTGAGAGGCATCCTGGGGCCAAAGCACCTGCAGCTGGGCAAAACGCCGCCACGTCAAAATTCGGGCAATGCCCGTATTGTTGTAAGAAATGACACGGTTTTCCCTTCTGTAGTCAACTTCCCTCTCTTTTGGTTGTGAAGTGAAAACTGTTGACTGCCGTTCTTCCGAGGGAAAACCGATCATGTGAGAATCGCCTAGCTTAGCGCTGTACTGCACACAAACACCCAGAAGGCAGAAGTCCAGACCGATGTCAATTGAGAAATAGTTACATATCGACGGCCCTTCTTATCCTAATTTGTGGTGTTTCAGTGTGGCCAACGAAACCTGCATGTTAATGTGCAAACCGTAAACCTTAAGCTCTAGATCGCCAACTGCGGACCGCGGACACACTCTCCTCTAAGTTTGCAGCCGAGCAGTCCTTCCGCTGTCTCCTGAAAGCACCTTCTGCAAGTTGGTCAATATAGTCACTTCGTTTCCAATGTGAACAAGCCTCCACATCGACACCCGTGAAATTCGAAGAGTATATCATCCTCCCTCCACGGGACCCATCGAGAGTCCTTAAATTTTGTATGAAAGTACAAAGGGGAAGAGAGCAGTGGCTTGTGCATGATCACTTCCTGGAGAGGTGTGCGCTCTCCTTTTTCTATATATTGAGAGCCGCAAGTATGTGGGTTGCCAACTATCAATGAGCGTTGATTTACGCCTTCTGCATTCACCTGAGCTTGAGAAGCTGTAACTAGTGCCAAAGCCCGGGCAAATTCCTCCCACCAAACACGAAGCTTCATGGTGTCCCCCAGAAGTTAAACGGAGCAAACGAGTGAATCTAATATCAAGAAACACTTCCTTACGGTTCTACTTGCGAAACCTGGATGACGGAACCCTCAATCTGCCTCTCCCGTCCAACCATGCAGGCAGGCTCAGTCCCTCCGATGCATCCATGTCTTACTCGTTAAACCTCAGTTTCAAGAAAAGAAGCTTCCTCAACTTGACCAACGGAAGAGGCCTTGTCAAATACTCCAGTGATGACTCTAGGATACAAGATAAACATAAGTCTGTAGGGAGACCCCCTGATCCAGTGCTGGGATCGGCACACACGGATAGTAGCGTGCTTCCTTCTGCTCTTGGAAAACATAACATTTGCTGCCCATTTGTCGAAGCAGTAGAGTAGACAAATATGCAGTCTTCAGTTGCAGGCCAACTACGGACTGCTCACTAGTCGCCCTTAGTGGTTGTCCCGATGTGTACGCCTCTTAGGCATCAGTGTCTTGTGGAATTTCACATGTCCAGAGAAGTTGCCTTCGGCTTGCGTACCCAATACAGCATCTTTCCAATTGGCATTTTCATTGTGGGACGGCAAAAATCCACCCAATTGCTCATGGGGGTGTACCTGCTTTTGAAAATGACCCTGGCGCTGTCTCCACCGTGCAACTATTTCAGCTGCCTCATCAATTCATATCGCAGATCATAGCGGATTCACCTTTACCTGTACCATAAACGGATAAGTACTTTGTGAGAGCAGAATTCCCAGATCTGCTTCCAATGCCAAGCACTCCTCCAATACAGACTGTTCTTCGTCATCCATACCCAGATCACGGTCGGACAGACGGCGCCTGGTGACCCCAGCAACTTGATCCCTGCCACGAGCTGCCGTGCATACAGACCAAATCACTAAAATTGCTAGAATCGAAAAGGTAGCGGTTAGTGACCCAAAATGCGACCGTTTTTGACTCCTTGATCGGGAGTTGTTAAGATCCTTTGCATGGACCACTTGGTTCCCAGTAGACTGACCCAGGAAGGCTGTGGAAACTTGCGGGAGCATGTCAGAAACTGCATGTTCCATTTGAAGTTGTGGTGATTTCAATGTTACCTGGTGCGTCTCGTTCTTAGGCTTGCCCATAATAACAGCATTTGCACCCAGCCTCCCCCTGCAAGACACGGACTGGTTGACGAGCTCAGCTGTTAGTACAGTATTAAAATTGTTGCACTTCTCCTCCAGTTACAACGGAATTGAAGCAGACATGCCCGTAGCAGGAATCCAATTCAAAAAGCCCCTGTACTGATGCTGAAACCATGGAAGACATGCTTCAACTGTGCTGCTGGCCTGCTTTGCTCTGGGTATCGCTCCATTCCGCGTCGCGGTACCGCTGTCAGCGGGATTGGTTTCAGCTCTATGGAGGAGCATCTTGTGATGGTTGAGAAATTCGTTGTTTACTATCCGATCGAATTCCTTAGGTGCTTAGTATCGATAAGTTTACCAGCAAATATTGTTTGCAGAGCCGAAATCCCGGTCCGGGCCCCAAACCCGTGGCATCCTCACCTCATCCAAAGTTCGACGATCCCACTCTTAGAGGGTCTTTGAAGGTTCCAGACACCCTTGAGTGGAGTATTTATTCTAGGGAACTAGCAAAACCCTCATTCTGCTCCCTATGTTGGCAGCAGGACTTTGAGGGGTGTCACGAGTGTTCTTTCCTCTGTAGGGGCGGCGTCGCTAGTTATGTTCACTATTGCCACCAGGTTAAACCAAATATGAATAATGTGTACGTATGTGCAGTGCCCTTTGCTACAGTTTATGATGCTGTATGTGCACATCTTTTATTCAGCCGGAGCAGATGAGTGGCATATCATCTGCTCATTGGGATTGCCAGGGAAGCACTCATTCTTACCTTGTCTGCCACCAACAACGCA